AACAGAAACCCGGCAACACATCATACTTCCCACAATGACCTACAGGTTACAGGACGGTGAAGGGAGGGTTAACAGGGGCCACAGGGTTTCAAGAAGCTGCAGAAGAGTCACTGCAGGAGTCCCACAGATTAGAACCAGCTGAAGAACGTGTTGGGGTGCAGAGCTGTTCAGGCCTGGAGCTTACTCCAGGCGAGGATCTGGGTGGCAGGCTGTTTCAACTGGGGAGATCAAACGGAACGGAAGCCTCTGGGACAGAGTCAGGAGTTTGTCACCTGCTGACCTCATAATACATTGTTCACCAGAAGGTCCCTTAGAACAGTGGGTTGGTGGGGGCCACCATCTCAGCTGCCCTCCTCTCCCGTGCATCCAGCGAGGGTCTGATGGGTCTGACAAGCCCGCAGGCCTGGCTTCTGTCCTCTGGGTTTGATAGGTCCCCACATTCCTGGGCCTCTGATTTGACTGGATGAGTTTGCAGGTGGCATTTTTGGTGAGCAGGGTTACTTTATTTATCCGTTTGTGCCTTATCCCTGTGCTGTGCCGCTGGGTGCCGTTCCTGTGGGGAAGCCATTCCTCCTTAGCCCTTGTGTTCACAGGGGGGCAGCTCATGGCAAAACGCCGCTTTACAATTTGGTGCAACTCAGGACGAGGCACGGCCTGAAACTGCCGTTCTGTCCAACGCCGAGTAACTCAGAGGAGGGTGCAGCCTGCTATGCAATGACAGCACCCGGTCCCAAGTCCCTGACACGCAGTGCTCAGGCTGCTCGGATCAGGCACAATCACGCTGTTTAAGACCCGTGCCCTCCAAAATAAAATACAACACTGTGCCATTAAAGGTGCCATTTATTATTGATTATGAGTCTGTGGGCTTGTAGGGCTAATGTCACTGGGCTTAGCAGGGTGGTTGTGGTCTCAGATGGACGCACTCACACGCCTGCCTGTTGGCTGATGGTGGTGGCCTCTGACTGCATGAACCTCATCCTCCAGGAGGCTAGCCCAGGCATGTCCTTATGGCAATCACGTGGGCAGGGAGGGGTAAGGGGACTGGAAGCTCCTTTGAGGACTAGGCTTACAATGAACAAGCACACTGCCATTTCTGCTGCTTTTCTGTCTTCTTTGGCTGAGGACCCAACATGGGGCCTCATGCATGCTAGGCAAGCACTCTGCCACTGAGCCACACCCCAGCACAG